GAGGAGGAGTTTGTTGTCCCTGCTCTGCTGGGAGCTTGCCGAGAGGGAACAGCATCTCATTCGCCTAAGTACTCTTAGCGAAGAAATGGGCCCCAAGTTGATTCCCGTGACGTGGGCATCAAGCACACCCCAGATTCTCCAAGCTGCTGTGCCAGTCCACCTCAGACAGCAGCCACCCCTCCCCTCAGCACGCTGCCCACTTCCATGTGGCCTCAGCGACTCAGTCTCATGAAGCTCAAGAACCGTTCATGGGGTCAAGTGGTTGATTAAGGAAGCCACTGGCTGTCGGGTCAGGAATCACGTAGCCAAGGCCTGGTAGGCTCCCTTAAGGCAGGGAGCCAAGCCCTTGTTTCTTCAGCGCAGGGCAGTTTTCTCAGCTCTTCGCGGCCATGCGAGCAGGTAGGCCCTTCTCTTGGCCGTGCAGACCTCTCTGTGGCTAACGGCCCCACTCACAGCCAGCACAGCGGCCTGCTCAGCCCTCTCAGCGGCTGTCCCAGTGGGACCTTTCGGCCACCTCTAGCTGTCCTTCAGGGTCCTTTCTGGGGCTCTCACTGTCACTCTTGACCTGCGTACTTTTAAAGGGTTCCTGTCTCTTAGCTCTTTTCTCTCCTTATGTCTGAAAATCTCTGAGGGGTTGGCCGTTTTCATAAGCTCCTTGTCGATTTCAGGGCAAGGTCCTCCCAACAGGACCAAGAATCCTCCCTCTTGGGTAACTCAATGGGCAGACTGAATGAACCAATCCCTACCAAGTGTATCAAACAGACCCATCACAGCGCCTACGCGGCCCAGGCTAGGTAAAATGCATCAAGCCCATCGGCTAGTTGTTTACAGCTGACCCCGGAAATGTCAATCCACCCGGATGAAAGCAACCAGCCAACCCTCTGCGGGTGGGGCAGGAAACCACACAGCAGGCCCTGCCTGCAGGTAGACAGACTCCCCAGTGAGCTAGGGCCCAAGAAACTCCTCCTGGAGGCTCAGGAGGGAAATCTTCCAGGTGGGTTTTCCAAAGAGCACGGGGCAAATGAACCCAGAATGGAGCTCTCCTCCCCACCCTCGGGCACCCCTGTGGGGGGCAGAGATGGGCTGGCAGGCTGGGACAAGAGTCAATCCTTGTTTGGGGGTCAACAGGAGGACAAGCAGCAATGCGCTTCAAGAATAAGGTGACCAGATTTTAATATTGGTAAAGCGGGACACCATTGATAAAACTTATATCCTGGCTAAATAGCCACGTGGCAGCCAAAAACTGTATACCCTAGCTTGTTGTGCATTCTTTCCAAAAGTCGGGACTTTTTAAAAATGCTTCGGGACACGGGAAAAATTGTTAAAAATCGGGACTGTCCCCCTAAAAGCGGGATATCTGGACACCTTAT